AAGGGCCAGACTCTGGGGCCGGGCGCAGTAGAACGGAGTGGAATGGGCATCTCTCGGGAGAGCCTGGGCAAAAAGAGCCCCATAGTTTCCAACCTGGAAGGACAGACAGTATTTTTATTATGTGACTATAAGAGTGGAAACATCAAGTGCAGAATAGCCAGAAAAGTAGTCGCACCCTGCTGGAGGGCTTGCGGGGATCTTCAGAGAGGCTAAGTAGCAAGTAGAGAACAGACCAGCGATGCTTCAGTACACCCTGTCAAACATAATAGACAAATATTCAAAAGCATGAACAAACGAACAGTTACAATGTCATCCCAGACTTTAATTGGTTGAATTAGACAAAACTGGACAATCGTCGCGACTGACAAATGTCAAATGGCGAGTAACCAACAACCAACTTGCTGCAGCAAGAAAACAAAACTGACTACTTAAGTCAGTGGTCCTCAACCTTTTTCCTGTGAGAGTCACATAACTTTTCGCTTCTCTGATGGGGGGCCGGGGTCAGTTTGTCACAGAAAAAAGTGTGACTGCAAGAGTACCTAAATGTAAAAATTTATAGTTTTCCAGAAACCCACACAAAATCAAATAACCTTTTCTGGATTTTTCTTGTACACAGTCACTGTACATAAACCTACAATGCAAAATTAAATCGAAGAGTCACTGAAAATCAATAAATAACAAGGTGAATGCAAATAATTTCTACTGCATTGGGAAGGACTAAACTAACAACAAAACACCCCGTAATTATTAACTATTTACAAGAAAAAAAAAAAAAAAAAAAATGCCCTGTACCCATGCTGGGTATGCATTCAAATGATACGACCATTGCAGTTTTTGCTTTGAGCCTCGCCAAAACACAAAGAATAGCAAAACTGAGAATCATGAGACCATCTCAACAAGCTTCACTGGGCTGCTTATGTCACTTGCAGCTGGGTAGTCGGTAGGTTGAGGCGGGATACCGTCGCCACAGCTAGCGATAGCAAGTTTCACGGAATAACTGAAAATACATCATGTTATGTGGTGATATAAAATGGCCTGTACTGTGATTGAAGACTTTTTTCAAATCGCCCAGCATTGTCCCCGTTTAACCTGGGACCTTGGCAATCATATTTTGTGCCATATTATGGACGAAAACAAGTGGATTTTTCTGCTGAACTCATTTTCTACATACGCAATATTCATCAGAATGCCGTGTTCAGACTTGTAGGCATCCCTACAAGTCTGAACACTGCCCTCCAGGACCTGAGTTTGACGCCTGTGCTCTAATCCAGGGGTGCCCAAGATGTCGATCGCGATCGACCGGTAGCTCACAGGCTGGTCCCAAGTCGATCGCGAGGGATGTAGAGGGGAAAAACAAACAAACAAACAAACAAAAAACAACAACCCAAAACATTTGTGTGTCTGTGTGCGTGTTATTAATATGATATAGTTATGTGTTAGTGCACACTGCACCCTGAGCATGCTATCAGTCTCCCTTTCCCAAAAGGTATTTTCAAAATAAAATAAAATTAAAAGTCACCTTTAACCTACGGTGGTCCGTGACCTGCATCACCGCAAGTTGTTAGTGGTCAGCAGTCTGCAATTGCAGCTTGCAATCAGAGCTGTTGCGCTCTCTCTTTTATTGTTGTTATTATTCGATTCAGAGTTTATTTCATGTACAATTCACAGAGGGTACTGGCAAAGAATGGGAATCTAGAGGGCCAAGAGAAGCATTTGAAAACGGTACACGTAAGCTACGATAGTTAACATGCTGCAAAAGTGCGTCCCATGCCTCCGCGTCAGGTCTTGACCAAGATTGGCAATGATTTTCTTTTAACAAACCCACAAACTCTTGTGTCTACTTTATTTTCTGTTTCGTTCATCTTTAGGACCGTTATGGCTGATGCTCATCATGGCATGTGTGTAAGTGTATATGTAAGTGCGAGTGTATGCGCACGTGTGCGGTAGGTAACAGGTCGGTCGCGGGAGGTTGGGTGATCGAAAAGTATATCTTCGGTCAAAAAAGGTTGGGCACCCCCGCTCTAATTAGTCGATTAATACTGACCACTATCAGCGACGATCCAAATAATCGCTTGTAGCAGCCCTACTGTACAGTATATGTGAATGTGCCAGTAAACAGTACTAGCCTGTGTCTGCAGTTTTCTATGCAGCTCTGAGAAGAGAGCAGCGTCTGCCTCTCGCCGCTGCTTCAGCACTGTAGAGAGTAAGAAAACAAGTTAATAACTGAAGCGATAAACATGGCTGCAAACTGGCTGTTTCACTTTGTTCTTCATTTACAAATCTGCTGAAACTCTGCGTAATTTTAGAAAGTGCCAGTGATGACATGCAACACAACATCACCTCGAAGCCTGCCAGACAATCTGTGCTCAATAAACATGTCATACTGTAAATGGAGTGCTATTTTTACATGAGAGCTTTGATTGATTGTTTTCCAACTAATGGTACAACGCAGGCAACTTTGATGGGACGGCTGGGAATTTACTCTGATAGTGTTTCAGCATTTTCTGTAGAGTGCAACATAAAAAGCTTTAGTACTTCTCAAAAAGCACTTGACAACGTTAGAGACTAGACATTGAAGCTAAAATGAGTAACACTGCTGTGTTGTTATTTACAGATAGTTTTGGGGAAACCTCGACTTACATTCCTTCTTGATCTTCTCCGTCACCAGGAATTCATCCCGTTCAATAGTGGGAGCGTAGTTACTGCCAATGACTCGCACTGCATACTGGAACTGTTGGGCAACTTCAGCTGACCAGATAAATAAATAGTCAACTCAACCGTATTTATAGAGCACTTTCAAACAGTGCAAAATAGTGACGAATTAGTCACAAAAAAACCTTTTACCGTAAAGTCACATTGTTCGCTCCTGAAAATATAACGTTGAAATAGTTTGCCTGTTTATGTTTACATGTCATTGACATTTATAGTTGCCGATCTGCTCTAATAATGCAAATGTTCCACTTGCCTGCATGCAAGCCATGTCGTGGCATGGAATCGGCTAAATTTAATTTAAGGGTTTCCCTACTAAAAAAAGCTATAAAGCGAAAAGACATCTTAAGACATATAGCATATAAATAATACTAATGCAACTACTACAACTACTACTAATAATAATAATGAGTGACCGTAATACTCTGACGTATTTCATCATTCGGACAACGGGACACCCAACGTATGCATTGGGAAATGACTATAATGTTGTCAGAAAGTGTGTCATCTGACAGAGAAGCGATCAAATTAATGTACCGAATGTTGACAAAGATTACAAACAAACATTCAGAATAAGTGAAAATCTTGGTTATGCAGCGACATAGTCATACATTTGAATGAGGTTCTGATTCCGAGTTGTGCCAATGTACCTTCGCTTTTCCCCGTAATTCTACAGCAGAGGCTCTGGAGAAGCACGTTGGGTGATTTCTGATCTAGGGTCGCCATTCCGTCCGAGTCTCGCGTTTCGCGTGTTGTAAAATGCGAATATATGTCACTGTGTACAACGCAGAAATGCATTCAACCGCCCATTACTAACAACGCCATTTTGCCAAAGTAAATCAAGCTCGCGTTAAGACGTAAAAAAAACTGAAACAAATCGACCACACCTGGACGAGAGCTTCAAAGTAAGAGTTCTGATGTACTTTCCACAGATACCGTTATTTTTCAATTAAATATTAAACATATAGAACACTACTAGAGAATACAATAATAACATTCAGAAAATTCACAAGCAATTTCAATCATAACAGTCACGTTTACAGAGTTAAGGTAAAACCTTATATTGAAATGCATAACCGGATATTGATTTATTTGACAGTTACTTTAACGCTTCGCTGTTAACATAACCCGCCGAAAAGCGTCTCCAGGAAACGCGAGACGGACGAACGTGGGAAAATATTTCCGTCTCGAAACATTAAATTAACATTGCATAGCGAAATCATGTTCTTACCCATGTAGCCTCTCCGTATTTGAAATTATTGTTAATTATTTCTTTAAATAATTTACGTTATAATTAGTAGTTCAAGATAGTGTTTCGTACAATACTGTCTCACCGAACCCCTGACAGCATTAAAAGAAGTCAGTCACTGTCGAAGGTAAATGACTGCAAAATTGGGCAGGCAAGGAGTTGAAAGACAGAGAGATGCAGAGGCGGAGCTACACTATTTTTCCTTTGGAGTGGCGAAGGCTGTCTCAAGGTGTCCGCAAAAAACAACTTGTGAACATCATTATCAACAGTCAACATCCATTTTTATATTGAATTAAATTTGCACGCAGTTATTGTGCTCACAGTTACCCACACTTCATAAATAAATCAATAAAAACTGATGGGGTGGGGTGGGGATGAGTTGACCAGTCAGACATCTGTTTTATACTCAGACTGGCATTCCTTAATTCACAAATGAATGCATTTTATGTTTCCATATTGTGTTTATGAATTGTACTCAATATTTTTGTCAAAATCTGAGACCAATCCTATGTTTTCATAAAACAAGTTTTGAAATTGTTCAGTTATTTGAGCTAATACAATTGCAACATACAGTATCTTTTAAATATCTTCTGTTGTGCCATTTCCTTCACACTGAATCACAATTGTGTTCTGCCATTTATTAGTTAACATTTCAAATCGAGCGCTGCTAATGTCAAGTTTAGCATCCTTTTCAGCTACAGTAGTTGACATGTGCAAGTAATTTTCGCGAAGCAGTTGTATAAACTTTAAACCAGTAGAGGGTGCTAATCGACAAATAACAGTTTTATATATAGGCGCCAAAGAAACAGTTTTCAAGACGTGCGCCGCCCTGACGTGTCAATTATCATGTAAATTACCTCGAGTGGCACCTGACTGGTCCAAGCAGTTGACAGAGATGGCACCTACCCCCCCTCTCCCACCCCGAAAACCCCCAGCCACCCTCCCTCTGGCTTCGCCAGTAGAGAAGGGGGGGGGGGCGACAAGAGCGAGGCACAGAGAGCAAAAGTTATTTCACCAGTTCAAAAACATAATTGAACACACCGAGTGAAGAAAGAAAACTACTGCTGGGCTACTTTTTTGTTCACTCGTTTAGTACTTCGTTTTATTTTAATTTGTTCACTTTTGTCCTTTGATGAGACCGAATTCCGCACCAACAGCACGCGAAAGCGCATGCGCCAACACCTGGCTGCGCGTGACGCCCACGAGAGTAAAGCTCCTTTGTCGAACGCGCGCGGAAAGGAGATTAGAAAAGTACAGTAAACGCCCGCAAGCAACAGAGAGGTGGATGTTACAGCGTCGTTTGGCTTCGTCCAGCCATACAGTTCAACTTTTTGCCACCTTTTCTCCCCCTTCCAGGTGAGCGCCACTGAGCATTTTTTTCCAGTCCGAGACGAAGAGAAAAGAGAAAAGTAATGGACCCGGGTGGAGAATTAAGAACAAGCTAGCGCCGTCCGTGCGGAGAACGAAACGGGAAGAAGAAGAGAAAAAGAATTTGACGGGCTGGACAGAGGGACAGGATGGGGCTGGATCTCAGCACTCTCCGGACCCTCATCAGCAGATATGTAAGCCATCAGTGTATTGCCGTTTATTTCAACACACACTAACTAAACCGCACTTGAACATATACAGAGCAACACTGATACTTTCTACCGCTCATTTCGGATTAAGTTTCACTCGAGAAAGGAAGACACAAAAAGGTATACAGTATAGGAAACTGATCTGGGAGCAAACTTTGTCGTCGACTCAAACTGGACTTGTTTTCTACTAAATTTTTTAATACTGTCACTTGAAAATATTCGTTTTCGGTTCAGTGGAATTGCAGTCTGGCGGAAGTTAAATTCGTAAAAAGGGTATTTAATTAGATGTTCAACAAACACTGTCATGACCAAGCAGCCGCACATGGACCTGAAAATCAAACTCTTCAGATCCAAGTGCTCAATTCCAATAAAATGACTATATGTTTTTTTTCTTGGGGGAGGGGGGGTTGTCTAGATGCATGCATTGTAAACACATCCATGTGAAATGTGTGTCACTTAAAACATAAATCTCCCATTTGTGTGAAATAATCACCTCAGAAGTTAGCAAGTGCGTTGATGCACCCTTTTTAGAAACTGGTCTGTATATTTAGACAAGTTACAACTTGCTCAGAGAAGCATCCAGCTAGTCACAAAGTGCAGGTTATCATGCTCAAGCAAGACATACACTAGTTATAAAGTCCCATAATAATTACATTTCTTAGAGCATAAATCCACTTTTTTTGAAAATGTATTGTAAATTGTTTTGATATATAGTATATTACAAAACAAATGCTTATTTCTCGGAAAAGTGAGTGTATGCAAACCAGTCTCAGATATTTTGTGACATCTCCCATTTGAGAAGGACTACAAATGGAACAGTCACATGAATTATGTAATCCACTTGTTTTGCCCCTGCTAGCCAAATCGATGGGCTGCAATGGAGCCACCATCCTGTATGGCTCTTGCATTACGCCCCACTCTAATGTGTTGCTCGAGCGAGCTCTGCTCATATGAGTCAGAGAGCCCCTTGCTCAGCTGAGGCTTAGGTCCGGCCTCCCAACTGTTGCTAATGGGCAATAAAATGAAATCCCTGCTGCATGGTATCTGAAATGGAGCTGCGTAGTAGGATGCAGGCTGAGACGACTGTGACTGATTGGTTGCGGGATGCTGATGAGGTCTGCTGGTGTAATTGATCTGGATAACAGCTCAAGACAAAGTGGCTTTAGGCTAAATTGATTGTAATACCAGTGCATGTACCGTACTACGAAAATTTTATTTTGGTTTAGGAGCTTTTATCTCTTTGTCAGCAGTGTACTCTCATGAAATGTAAGTCAACACATGGGAGAGGGCAAGCTAATGAAGAATTATCCCCTGAACCACATATATATGAAAATAAACAGTCTTCATTAGGTCATCTGGAAAAGAGGTTGTATTTTTTTTGTTGAAATCAGGGCAGTTTGTAATTGGGTGTGTGTGCCTGTGTGTCTGTGTGTGTGTGTGTTTGTGTTTACTATAATTCAGTTACAAATACAGTACATCTTGCTCACTCACTGCCCTGTTAGAGCATAGCAGTAACTCCAATTGCCGCCATCTCTCATTAGATGGAAAGAGCAGAGGATGGTTATGTAAGATCACTTCTCAAGTGTAATGTACACTGTAATCTCTATGTCGGCGCAGAATGACAATAAAATGTGACAAGTATGAACTCACTTGTGGTCCAGTCATGCCGCCGGCTCACTTCCTCCCATTTATCCAACAGTATCTTCCGCTGCAACGGTCTTAACAAGACCATTTGGGAAGGTTTTAAATGTAGAGTCAACAGTTTTGAGGCCTTGCTGATGACCTTGTTCACCTTTACGTTTAATAATCCTCCCTTAATTTTGTAACGACTCCACAGGAATAGAACAATTTTAAAATCTTGTACAGTGACTCAAAATGTTTCTCAGTGAACCACCCTCAAAGAATGATACATAATTGCAACAGGAGTGGGCGTTAGTGTGTAAAATATCATGACTGCCCCACCTCTGTGTTGAGGTGTGTGTGCATCTGCAGCCAAGCAACATTCCTCTGCCACTGACTAATCGCGATTCTTGGACAGGAAGCTAAATCTCCTCCTTCTGCTTGGGGATTAAAGGGTTACTGGTGTTCAGTACCCTCACACATTTAATCCGGTAGAGGAATCTGAGCCAATCATTGGCCTTCTGCTGCTTGTATTCCACCTGTTGCACCTTGCAGTTGGCACAAAGTTTTCAACATGAAAAGAAGCTACAGTAACAGGGATATCTTTGTCCCTCAGTTTCCATTCCCTACCCCCTACACCACGGGGTAGGGAATGGAGTTGTAGCTCGGTGAGGTGGAGGCCAATGGTTTACATGCACTCCTTGGCGCTGTCTGCTTGTCAATAATTCATGAGCAGACAAGATGATAGTACTTGTGGAGTCTCCTAATCTTTTATGGTGTGTGTGTGTGTGTGTGTGTGTGTGTGTGTGTGTGTGTGTGTGTGTTTGTGGGTGGGTGGCCTATGGGGTGCTTTGGGAGACACTAGAGTGCTTCAGGCCAATCTATTGAGTCACATGAAGAGCAGGTAAATGCAGCCGCGATGGGCCCTATTTTCGGAGAGCGGCACACTCATTTTTGTGCCGGAGAAAGTGTAGTTTACTGTGTTTGGGTTTTTGACAGTGTGTTGTGCCTTGCTGGGCATTCCGGTGGACTGAGAACATTTTCTATTACACGCCCATGGTGCCCCTGACAATTTGGTAACAAAGTGGACTTGTATTTAGACGAGCTAAAAGCAGTTCTAAGTTGTGGCACAGGTGGAGTTGACCGAGGTGCAGGCATGTCGCAACAAAGGTCGCGGGGCGTACTGGAGCCTATCCCAGCTGTCTTTGGGCCGTAGGCGGGGGTCACCCTGCAAACTCCACACAGGAAGGCTGGACCTGGTACCTCTGTACTGTGAGGTCGACACGCAAACCACTGGACCTCCGGGCCGCCTTCTATCTGAATTATTGTAGAAATTAACTAATTGAACAAATGGTTATTATTAGCCATCCATCCATCTTCTGATCCGCTTATCCTCACAAGGGTCGCGGGGTGTGCTGGAGCCTATCCCAACTGTCTTCCGGCAGTAGGCGGGCTACACCCTGAATTGGTTACCAGCTAATCACAGGGCACACATAGACCAACAACCGTCCGCGCTCACACTCACACCTAGGGACAATTCAGAGTATTCCATTAACCTGCCACACATGTTTTTGGAATGTGGGAGGAAACCGGAGTACCCAGATAAAACCCACACAGGCAACGGGAGAGCATGCAAACCCCACACAGGAAGGCCTGAGCCGGAATCAAACCAGGCACCTCTGCACTGCCAGCGTGTTAACCAGACGACCACCGGGCCGGCCAATTATGATGATGATCATTATGAATACTATTATTATTCATATTACTGTATTATGATCACATCTGTGACTGGTGGGGAGGAGTGTCTGCAGGGACTTACACTGTACACTTACAGATGCACAAACGGTGTAGAAGGCTGTCTCCAAGTGCCCAAAATGACCTGTTTGTATGTCGGAAATTTCGATTAATTGCCCAGCCCTACTTTTTTGTGCACTTTTTGGTCGGCCCCAAAGTCAGCTGAGTCAAGCTGCATCATTTACAGCAGGGGTGCCCATTACGTCGATCGTGATCGACCAGTAAATCAGGGACTGGTCCCAAATCAATCCAAGGGTTGTAGATGAAAAAAAAAACACAAACATTTGTGTCTCTGTGCATGTTAGTAACATATATTTTTTTGTTAATGCACACTGCACCCTAATCATTCTATCGGTCTCACTTTCACAAAAAGTATTTTAAAAAGAAAATAAAATAAAGCAGGTCATCTTTAACCTATGGTGGCGTGTGACTGCGTCGCCGGGCGGTGTTAGCGCTCAGCAGTCTGCAGTTGCAGCTTGTGCTCAGAGTTGTTGCGCTATATCTGTTATCGTTATCATTATTCTCATTCAGTTTGTTTTGTACAATTCACTGAGGGGACGGGCAAAGAATGGGAATCTGAGGGCCGAGAGAAGCATTTTAAAACGGTACGCGTGAGCTACAAGTGTTAACAGGCTGCAAAAGTGCTCATCATGGCAGGCATGTGTATGTGCGTGCGTGCGTGGTAATGGATCGATCCCGGAAGGTTGGTTCATCAAAAAGTAGATGTTCGGTCAAAAAAGTTTGGGCACCCCTGACTTACAGAATCAACACAGTTTAAGAGTGATTAGCAGTGTCATCTCAGTCATAGGTTTCCAGGTTTGAGCCTATCTACGTGCCGTTTACACCAATTTGATCATGTGGATCAAAAGTGGTCGACATGTTGCATTTCTTGCAAAATCAATGATCAACTGTAATGTCATAATTTGTGCAATCTATCAATGGCCTCATTGATCGGATCAGCAAAGTGAGATATTACAGTATACTACTCTCAGATTCAGGAGGAGCACCGGCTCTACACCCTCAGCAGGGTCCTTGAGGGTGCCTGAGAGTTGGCCTGACCAGACTACATGTGTTTTGTGCACTTGCAGAAGGTGTTCGATCCTGGCTCTTGCTACCCTGCACTACCGATGTCAGAGTTTGGCTTGCATTGCCAGCAGTAAATCGGATTTGTTTCCAGTGAGAGTTGGAGTCTGTCAAAGCTGCCCTTTGTCACGATTCTGTGGACCGAATTTTGAGGCGCAGCCGAGACATTGAGGCCATCCGTTTTGGTGGCCTCATTATTGCATCTCTGCTTTTTGCAGATAATGTGATACTGTTGGCCGCGATCTCACTGGAGCGACTCACAGCTGAGTGTGAAGCAGGTGGGATGAAAATCATCAGCTCCAAATCAGAGACCATAGTCCTCAGTCGGAAAAGGGTGGAGTGCCCTCTCTGGGTCGAGGAGGAGATCTTGCCCCAAGTGGAGGAGTTTAAGTATCTTGGGGTCTTGTTCACGAGTGAGGGTAGGAGGGAGCGAGAGATTGACAGGTGGATCAGTGCGGTGTCTGCTGTGATGCAGATTTTGCATCTGT